CAAACAGCCATGTGTTTTTCAAGCAATTTAGATCTGGAGATTGAAATACTAAGGAGATGAGAAAGAAATTAGATCTACCTTGCCCAAAGATTTACACAGGTAGATAAGAGAACAGTGGTCAGACGGAAAAACTTCCGTCTCATTTATTTTATTTATGGCACTAGTACTTGAGGTTTGGATTAATAAGGTAAAAGTGTGGAGTAGGGATTATTTTTGTTTAATTGATGAAAGTAGGGATTAATCTTGTCAATTTTGCCAATATTATTCGAATGAAGATGTGGATATGATACTTCTAATAAACCACCATTCGCATGTAAATTGTGTGAGCTTCATTTCTGTTATTTATGCTCTGTTTTTCATTCAAATATACTTTAAGGCTTACATTGTCAATTTGGGCCTTCCTAAAAGCTATGATGATGCAAATACAGATCTCCACTTTCATTAAAGGTATATTCTAAACCCGTTTTACAAATATACTACTTCCTTATGTATCTTTTCCCTGCAATTTTTATATTGCTTCCAACTTTTATAACAACTTTATATATATATATATACACATATACATATGTATGTATGTATGTATGTATGTATGTATGTATGTATGTATGTATGTATGTATGTATGTATGTATGTATGTATATTCCTGAATTACATATAAATTTTGATGCTGCTATACTACTTCCTAACAAATATTTTAGCTTTCTCATATTTTTTTGAATTGCTAAAAGTTTAGGATTGATTATCTCATTGTCTCTACAAAAATTGATCTCATGTTTTGGATAATGATTGACAAATTGCTGCCAAGTTCTGAATTACTACTATGTTTTTCTTGTTGATGGACTGTAAATAATTTCCAGGTATTCCCAAATTGGAGATTTTTTAATCTTCGATTCATATGGATATTTTTCAGGTTTAGATCTATTTTTTCAATTTCTAAAGTAAGGGATTTGATCTTTTATGGGTTGTCTTTTGTAAGTTGATAGCTGGTTTCATTTTTGAGGAGCTCAATGCATTGTCGTAAGGTCTTTTGGAGTGACACACTTCCCGTTGATGTAATTTTTGAAGGGATTATGTTTTCTCTCATATGTTTTATGTTTTTAGTGCATGACATGTACATGTATGTTCTCCACCACTGTCTGTTTACCTCATCCCCGCAAAAAAACAACACTTTTTATACTGGATATGAAATGTAACTGCTGTAGAAATGCATTTTTTGACACTCCCACATTCAACCCAATACAATTGGATTGCTGAAGCCCTTTCTAGATTAATACTCTGCAGGATGGTGCAAAGTAATTCTCTAGTAGATCGAAGGCTTCCACTTGGTGAAACCAAAACGGTTTTTGTATCACAAATCTTCTTCCAATAGGTATATTCGGGGTTCCAAATTGCTTTATAACTATCAATGAATGTGGTCCTTAAAAATAAGTTTTGAACAATTTATTAAATTACCAGAGTGAGTGAATATGTTTATTTTCTTAAATTTTGTGAAAAAAGCCATCAAATTTGTTTTTGTTTTTTTACTTCTCTTGTTTTTCTTAGATAATTATATCGAACCTTTACTTTTATCATCACATCTCTATTTTTATGGAAAGTTATTCAACTATATTTTCTTGTGTTCCAGTACCGTAGTTTTTCTTTCAGAGGATAATACTATTAGTCCTATACAAGCTGATAGCAATCCTATACAAGTTGATATCATGTTGTGTTGTTGGTGAGAAGTTTAGGAATCCATCACCTCCCTCCTCTAACATTGAAGTGGGGGAAGTCATTTTATTAGTGTTCTCTCATACATACATTGTCTTAATCAATGTATATTATCTCTAATTTGTCATAACATTTACCATTTTCATAAGGGACAGTGATTGTGCAGATTATATGTTCTCGTAATGAAAAATGATTTTCTACAACTCTCTTTTACATATGGAAAGTCTATTGTTCTTTTGGTCATTAAGTCTTGGAATGGTTGAACATAATACATGAAGAAGCTCGAAGAGATGGTTAGGAGTGTGTAGATGGAAAATCTTCTTTCCAGAAGCATAAGTATACACTTAGTCATTCTGTTAGTAATTTTAGTTGTTGTGCTCGACTGCAAGTAAAGTGTGTGTAATTGTTTCACTTGGATAAATTATGAAGTTGTAATTTTAGAATACATTGTATTACAATTTTTATCTATGAATGAATATGTTTGTATGGTATTTCTATTATTTATCTATATTTACCTTGTGAGATCACCAATTAGTATGTATGTGTGTACATATGTGTATATATATAGATATGATATGAGTGTATCACTAAAATATGTGATATGAAGGTATCGTTAAGAATCCCAATACAAATGTATCATTATATTTTATGATACTATAGTGTCGTAATTTACTGACACTTTTACTGTGACACTAAATTTAGTGTAACAACTCCCACCATTTCGTTGATAGTTTTTAAGTGTCACTAAATTTTTTAGTAACACTAATTTAGTGTTACTATAAAACATTTTTCTACTAGTGTTCTAAACACTCCAATGAACACCATTACCATTCCCGCTGTCATCACTGTTAGAGTGATTTCATTGCCACCTACTTAGGTGTCTCTATTTCCCAGCTTCGTTTAATGACTGCGTCGCCGTCACAATGACTTCATTGCCCTACCTTGTTTAGGCGTTTCGTCTTCCAACGTCATTTATCACCCTAAAATCATCAAACAATCTTCAATCACATGTTCACAACTAATCAACCAATCTTCAACCACGTACAACTATAATTACCCCCAAACATATTTTGTATCTTCATTCTCAACAATACTTGACGGAGTAAGTTTTGTGCAAGGAATATGGGTGAATTGTTGGATAGAAATTAGAATGAATTAAACAAAGGTTATTTACGTTTCTGGAAGAATGAAACCCCTGCCATTTGTTATCTTCCAAAAGTGAATAAAAAAAATTTCCAAGTGTAGAAGTAATATTTTTATCATTTTTTGATACTTATAAGTGTATAACTACTTTTTATTAGTCATGAACACCCCATAGATGTTTTGTAAAATGATCTATATATTTTTCCACGAGATAATCTAAATATGTTTTCTCAATTTTTACCTTTTTATATGAAAAATATAGACATAAATAATTTGAAATAATTCAAAAGAAATTAAGTTCGAGATTTGTTTAAATCTAGTTGATATGCTAGTCTAGTCTTAGTCTATTAAATTAAAGATATGATGATGCATAAATGATTGATGTTTGAAATAATTACATTAATATGACCAAAATAAATATGATTTGCAAGAATATGACTAGCTACTAGAGTAGTAATGAAATCATAGAAATTCATATTCAAGTTTTGAACTTAAGTTACCACAACACTACGTTGTGATAATGAGTAGTCATATTTATGTAAATAAGTTTTATTTTAGTAATATTCTTGTACGAAACCCTAAATGTTTTACAATGAGATTTTGAAATAAATGTAAAAATTACCCCACTATACAAGTTTAAATTTGATTAGAAACATATTAATGTCAATTCATTTTTAATGTTTAAAAACATAGACGAATTACAAATTATTACTCTAACATTCCAAAGCATAAAATAATTTTGATGAAATTAACTATATTAATGAGATGATATAAACAAAATAGAGAAGCGCAATATCAATTTGACAGAAAAAATCACAACCTAGCTTTAAATAAATTGAATTAAGAAAAATAGGAGTTATAGCCTTTAGAGCATACAAAATGACTAGTTAAGCTATTAAGATATATACATAATACATTATAGTTTTTTAATAATCTAATGTAATACTCTAATAGTTAGCTATAATATTTGCCTTTTGAATAGGCTCCACAGATCAACTAAACTTACAAGCATACATCTAAATGAATTGATTTTTAATATAATAAAAATAGTACTTAGGGTCTGTTTGCAACAGCTTCTGCTTTTAAAAAAGTGTTTTTTTAATGAAATGGAGAGAAGTGATTAAATAAAAGTTGATAGTGTTTGAGAAAAAAGTGATTTTGAAAAGTAAAAGTGGGTAGTGTTTGGTAAAATAAGTGCTTTTTGTGTAATAGAAAAAGTAAAAGCACTTTTGACGCGGAAGCCGAGAAAAATAAAAGTTGTAGTGTTTGGAAAAATAAGTACTTTTTTGAAGCCAAAAGCTGAGAAGTGCTTTTTTAAAAGCGGTTGAAAACCAACCCTTAGCTTGATATACTTTTGAATTGGTAAAATATCGATAGTCTTTTTAAGCCTATAAATAAATAATCAGGGTTATTTTTATTATTATAACGAGAATATTATGAAAACACATATATTTGAAATTGGTATAAAATATATAGTGGGACGATGACAATATTAAATATTACCTTCGTTCCACTAACATTCAAACCTAACGATGTGATATGATGAGGAGCAGATTGTGAGGACATAAGTAGGAGTAGTAGGTTCCAACCGAGTCCAATTTTCCTTTTCTTATTTGTGCAAGTATAGGCAATTTTTTTTAATACTCCCTCCGTCCCATTTTCGTTGTCCTACTTTCCTATTTGGGATGTCCCAAAATGAACATCTTGGTTACTTTTTTGGCAAGAAATATGTGATCTCTATCATTTCACTTTATTCAACTCAAATTTCAACTACAACTTTTACTTTTCAAACCACTTTATTAATAATCGTGCCAAATTGAAAGTGGACAATCAATAGTCCAATATACAATCTTAATCTGTTTTAGAATATGGCCCAGAGTAAAAATAAAATCGGCCCAGTATACAAACATTATCGCCTAGTGTAATAGTTTTTTTTACAAGAATATTACTAAAATAAAACTTACTTACATAAATATGACTATTCATTACTACAATGTAGTGTTGTGGTAACTTAAGTTCAACACTTGAACATGAATTACTGTGATTTCATTACTTACATAAATATGACTATTCATTACTACAATGTAGTGTTGTGGTAATTTATGTAATTATTTCGTGTAATAGTGTAAAAGAGTCCAAGTTCTAAAGTAAAGAAGGGAAAGGAACGCAGCAGCTACGCGGCCAAGCCAATGACGCGATTCAACCGCACGCACGCCTGACGCCTCAACGAATCAGCCGCTCAGCCAGCACCGCCGAATCGCCGTACTTCGCCGACTGCTGCCTTCCTCTCTCTTGATTGCTGGAGTGGTGCCGTCTGCTACTGCTCATTTAGGCCGGCCAAGGTAAGTTTCTTTTTATTTTTACAATTTAATTAAGCATTTTATTTGTTAAATTAGTTTGTATTAGTGAGTAGTGACTTGTTGTGTTACAATTGATTTGTGTAATTGTATGCTTTGAATTGTGATTCGGAAATAGAAAATTAGGAATGTCAAATGTGATTTGTGAATTTTTTAAAATATTAATATGAATTAAAATAAAGTATTGATTAGTTTTTTATTTTTTTTGGTAATTTTAATAGGTATTGCTATTCAATCTACTTCCAAATCATGTTGCTATACTACTTCCTAACAAATATTGTAGCTTTCTCATATTATTTTGAATTGCTAAAAGTTTAGGGTTAATTATCTCATTATCTCTACAAAAATTGATCCCAGGTTTTGGATAATGATTGACAAATTGCTGCCAAGTTCTGAATTACTACTATGTTTTTCTTGTTGATGTGCTGTAAATAATTTCCAGGTATTCCCAAATTGTAGATTTTATAATCTTCGATTCATATGGATATTTTTCAGGTTTAGATCTTTTTTTTTTCAATTTCTAGAGTAAGGGATTTGATCTTTTAGGGGTTGTCTTTTGTAAGTTGCTAGCTGGTTTCATTTTTGAGGAGCTCAATGCATTGTCTTAAGGTCTTTTGGACTGGCACACTTTCTGTTTATATAATTTTTGAAGGGATTATGTTTTCTCTCATATGTTTTTAACTCGCTGAATGAGAATGTTGTACTCCCTCCGTCTCGAAACTGTTGGCCAAATTTACTTTTTTGGATGTCCCAAAAATATTTCCCATTTTCATTTAAACTATGGAATATGTGGCTAAAGTTAATTCCTTTGCCCAAATTTCAATCACACAGTTTTTATTTTATTAAAATCCACGTGAAAGTCAACTTTGGCCAACTTTTTCGGGATGGAGGGAGTATTATTCATTGTGTGCTTAGATGTGAATTTTTTATTTCTCAATCTTTAGATTTCTTTTCAAGGAAAAGCTAGCCTCTTCTAAGCCTCAAGCCTGGCAGAAGTTTTATTTCGTTTTCTTTCTCCAAAATCTATTTTCAAATAGCCTAACTCTCAGCTAATTTTTGGGTTTTTTTTTCTTGAATAAATGTAGTCCAAATCCAAATATTACGAATCGAAATGGTAGGGTGGCGGGTAGTGGGGGTTTTCCTGTAAGCTGCTCTTTTTGCATTTTTGTTTTGTTTGTTTTGTCTTGTTTCAGTTGTTTGTGATGTTGTTAATCTTTCTAGAATTTCCCTCTGCTTCCGTGTGCATTTTGAGCTTACAAAATTAGGCTGTTGGGCCTTTTGTTTCCTGAACCAGTTTTCTCCAAGTGTTTGAAACACAAATAAGCAACACTTGGTTGATGGAATTCCCTGAGTGGATCCGCGCTTTAATGGAGTCTGATGAATGGTTCTTCCGCCATAGCATCAAGCTTCTGCTCCTCCTCGCACTACCGGTATACATTTCTTGCCGCTTCATCACCGCCCCTTTCGGAAAGCACGTCCGTCCTGGGTGGGGACCGACCATCCCCCCAGCCCTGGCCTGGTTTGTGATGGAGAGCCCCACACTCTGGCTTACTCTCCTGCTCTTCCCTTTCGGCAAGAACCATTCCAACCCGATTGCCCAGATCCTCATAGCTCCGTATTTGATTCACTACTCCAACAGAACCCTCATATACCCGCTCCGGATTTACCTCACATCTTATCGCCTGAAAAGGTCTGCTGCCGGGTTCCCAGTGAGCATTGCTTTGATGTCGTTCACTTTCAACATCCTGAATGCTTACCTGCAGACTAGATGGGTTTCTCACTACGCTGATGATTACGAAGGTGGTGTGCTGTTCTGGTTGCGATTCAGTGCCGGATTGGTGGTTTTTGTTGCCGGAATGGCGGCAAACTGTTGGGCGGACAGAGTATTGCTTGGGCTGAAGAGTGAGGGTGGTGGGTATAAGATACCCAGAGGTGGGCTGTTTGAGTATGTTAGTTGCCCTAATTACTTTGGGGAGCTTTTGGAGTGGTTTGGGTGGGGAGTGATGATGACTTGGTGGTCTTCAGCTGGATTTGCCTTCTTCCTCTTCACTTTTGCCAACTTAGTTCCCCGCGCATATTCCCATCACAAATGGTATCTGCAGAAATTTGGGGAGGATTACCCTACGAAAAGGAAAGCTGTCATTCCTTTTCTCTATTGATGAGTAATGGTTTGTTACCTTTAACCCCATGACAAAGTAAAGGACTTGAAATTTACCATGTTTTCTTACTCTTCTCTTTTACAAGAAAAGGAAACAAGAATTTGAACTTTGAGTGAAAGAAAGTCCCCAGGGTTAAAATTTCTTTCGACTCCGAAATAGAAAATTTGAAGAATATTGGATTTCATAAAAACTGCGTTATTTTATTTTGTTAACCGATTCCTTGAAAGTAAAAAAGGAAGATATGTGTTACAACATGATAGGAAATCAACAAAGTAGTCATTTTTTGTTTCACTATTTATCGTTGGATTCCTATCTAGTGATCCAAGGCGTTTTCCTGGACGTGAAACATCACAATCATCATGTCTGCTTGGTGTGTTCTGTTTTGCATTATTATTATTTTTCATTCAATCATAATAGTGCATCTGAATTATGATAGACTGAGGAAGGCAAGAACCATTGTGTTATGAGTACTCATATGTTGCACGAGATTAAGTTTGGGATTTATTGAACTATTTCAAGTGACTACGAAATATGATTGTACATAATAAAGTTCACGATACTTGCTTGTGAACAATGATGGAGTTAAGAACTAAGAATGACATTTATGGCTTTGTGGCCTTGTGGGTTAATGTCACATATAATAAACTTCAACCAAGATCATCCTTCATTCTTATTAAGACATCACATGGACAAGGCATTAAGAGAAGAGTTTATGGCAAGTTAAATCTAAAAATATGACAATTATGGGCCCGTTTGGTAGCACGAATCGGCTGTTTTGGCTGATTCTGCTGAAATTTATGAAATTCTGGCTGAAGTGGCTGTTTTGGCTGATTCTGCTGATTCAAGAAAAAAATATTTTAAAAATATATTTTATTAATAAATTATAGAAAAAATTACATGTAAAAATAGCTAAAATAGTCCTCTACAGTAACTTCAGCCAATACAGCCAGAAAAGTAACTCCAACCTTACTTTTTCTGCTTATTACACAATTCAGCACACAAAAGTAAAAGTTACGTGTTTGGTGAAAAAGCTGGCTGATAAGCCTGATAAGCCGAAAAAAGAGGTCTCCAAACGGGCTCTATGTCTTGTTTTTTTGCCTAAATCATTTAAGCCTATTTTTTTTTTTTGTTTTGGTGACCAAAAGATGAGCACCATCACATTGATACATGATCTATATTACTCATCCTTACTGAAACTATCTATGTCCTGACACGTTGAGACATTTGACCCTGTTATATGTGAAGTAGTGTAGTGTAGAAAAAGTGAAGTAGTGTAATATCTAGATGGGAATAAGATACTCAATTAGGGGTGGTCACGGTTCGGGTTCGGACTAGAATCAGCTGTTTTTTTTAATTGGACCTGGTGTGGCAAACCGGAGTCGGAGCTGTAACCAGGGTTTAGGACTTTAGGGTCCTGGCCCTGGGCTGATCTGGCCTCCTCCCATATATATTTTTTAAATTATGACAATTGGAAGTAGCTAAAAAGGTTTGGGGTCCATTGAAAAGCTGAAAACTATAAACTATAGTAGAACCCTGTTCTTTTTCAGTTTTTTAGAGCTAAATCTGAAATACAACTAGCAGTTGCTCAAAGTATTCTTTTTCAGTTTTATTTCAAATTTCTGCTTGCCACCGTGTAGTTGTTTTTCAAATGAATTCATGGAATTCAAAGCCAGTCAAGTGTAAACCATAGAACAGAGTAAGTTGAGTCAGAAAACTCCTACATATCATATATGTATGGTGAAATGGCAATGGGGTGGGGGTTCACTCCCCCATCCCCGCCCCGTGTCTAAAAAATCGCCCCCGCCCCATCCCCCACTACTATTCGACCCGCCCCATCCCTTGCCCCGACCCGCTAGACCCACGGGGTATCCAACAGGGAAAATAATCGTAAAAAATTAACACTATTTTAGATCCAGATAGTTTTTCAAAAATCTCACAACACTTCTAGTACGTACCCAAAAAACCTTTTATTCCGTAATTTTTAAGTGTCAATGTCATTTTACATCCCATTTCAAATCTAGTACACATTATATGCGTTTTGATTTAGTCATTTTATCAAACACTTTATTTGCATTGATTAGTTCTATAATATTTTAATAAGCCCCACATTGAATCAACCATGGTCATTTGACAGCATCTAGGAGTACCTATGGTCACCAGATTTTTAAGAGCCCTAACTACAATCATAAAGATAACATTCATAAGAAAAGAATTAATGCACCGTAATATTAAAAGAAAAAAACATTCGCAATTTCGCACTGTGCCTGAGGTGTTTAAGCTAATATCACTTTATAACTTTTCCAAATTCATTTTGTTTTATATGATTTTGATAACCAATTTTACAAGATAGTTGAGTTATATATTAAACAAGAATTAGATAGACCTATTTTAATTACTTCGCATTAGTATTATTATTACTAGTATTATTATTAATTATTAATATGTTATATATATTTTGGATATTTTGGATTTATGAATATATATATATTAAAAATGTTAACTCTCCTAAATAGCTATAATGTTTTCCATATGTTTTTATAATTTCAAAAATAAACTATATTGTATTTTTGTATTGCGTAGTATTTTATATACTATTTTTTTTGTAAAGATTTAATATTTTAAATATTTTTTAAAATATTATTTACACTTTGCAGTTTTTAAAAAAAGTTCCTATTTTGTTACCTATGTATATATTTAAATATTTCCGTTTTTTTTATTAATTTCATATAAATTTCTTTTTATATTTTTGATTTTTTTACATTGTATACATAAATATATAAATTTTGGACTATACGTTTTAAAATACTACGAAATTACATTACAGAAAATCATATTATCGTAAAATTTCCTGACGTTTTAAACTTTTTAAAATGTTTATATTCAATTTTTTCATGTGAATACTTTTTTTTTTACAAAAACATGATCGTTTTTTAAAATTTTAATTCCTTTTTTTTAGTTTTTAATTAAATTTATAAGTTTTGAACTCAGCATTCTTTATATATTTTTTACTCTAAGTATTTTTTTTTTGTATTGAAAATTTTCCAGTTATTTGCATTTTATTTATATTTTACTATTTTTTTACATTATTTTCTATTTTTTCCCCAAGGTTTCATTATTGTGTATTAAAAAATAAGAATTGAGTATTTCCTAGAGTTTTTTTCCGTATTAATGCTAATTAATTAAGTATTTACGAAAATAGGGTTGAGTTAAAAGTATTTACGGATATACTGCTGGGCTTAACTCTGGTCGGGGCTAAGTCGCCAAACCGTTTGGCGACTTATAAGTCACTTATAAATATATAAAGTATAAATATACGAAGTTCCAGGTTATAAAATATACCATCACAATCACTTTTTTATCAAACACTCCAACTTTTACATTTTAATTAGAATCACTTCTATTCCCAAACACTACGAACTTTTACTACAAATCACTTTTCCAATAATCTCTTAAAAAAATCACTTTTAAAAAGCACAAGCAATCGCAAACACTCCCTTAATACTACATCTAAAAGTTTACACTAGATATTGTTCATGTTGTTGAACTCTTCGTATATGCAAATGGTTCGCTCTTTGGAACTTTAACCTGAAATGTTCATACATAAAAATTATGATGAATACAAAATTATAAGTGTTTGGTTACAGAATATATTAAATACAACAATATATACTCCGTAATCAATAATATTGAAAGAAGGCTGAGTTGTCATTTCTCTATTCATTACAACATCTGCAACACAAAATTTAGTCTTTTCATTATGGACCAGTTCAACAAATGAGTTAATATTTGGTTCTAATTACTTGGTTTTACGGCCAATGAAGAGAAATAAAAGAACAGCACATCGTCACTTATATTGATTGGTGTAGCAACAAAAATATAAAAGAGCTCTTAACCATTGTACAAAAACACAAAATGAAGCCCGTTTTACAATTTCAAGGCCATAAAGCCAAGGGTGAGAAAGAGTGAGCTTTAAACAAATGCTCCTGAGAAGTATAATACATCTAAATCACCACATTCAAATGTCATGTATATCAAATCTCATAGCACCTTAATATCCGAAACTCAGTTAAACTCCCAGAAGATCATGCATTCGAAAGTTTTAATTATGCAGCCAAGAGTTGCTTGATTTTAAAGTCTAGTTGAATGGATGGAAGAGAAATGCATTGGCAGCAAAATCAAGCCAAGTTTATGAATTATGTTAAAAAGTAGAGCTCAAACATACCGTAGGAAAACCTACCTAATTTGACAACGCAGGCACTACACCTAATTCGACTCTGAAACTTTGGAGTGTGAATTCTCAAACTTTAACTCTCAAATGGAGTGTCTTACCAAAGGTGAGAGTCATGAGGTACAAGTTCCTACAAAAGGCAATAAAGATATCAGTGATGTTTATTAAAAGGCTTTGCTTTTTCAGAAACATAAACTGTTTGTTGTATCACAAAAGTTTGCTAGCCAAGGGAGATTATTTCCAGGAAAATGTAGAAGGCATCCAGGGAGAAAAGAAGCCCAAGTGAAAATAGAAATGAGTAAGCTTATGATGCAAACAAGGGCAACACTCCTAAGTCTATAGATGAAAAAAATCTGTTTTTAAGTAGGTTATCAGTTAGCTTATTAAACTTGTCATTTCCCTGTACGGCCTGATGAAGTTTTAAGTTTTTCTAGAAACACCATAAAATATAAATAGGCATTTCTTTACGAATATAATAGACAAAACTGGATTTTATCCAGCGAGTTCCTTTCATATGTGTAGTACCTTTATTAGCGAAACAGCTTTCACCTAATGGACTATAATTTCCTTAGTCCATAATGCATTCACATTATATATGTCATTCATTATCAGCTCACTTGAAGTACTAGGGATTAAGGATGACAAGGGGGGCGGGGGCCCGTGGGGAACCACCCCGGGGGGAGTTGGGGCGGGTGATTGGGTGGGGCGGGTATGGGGCTATGTTGTAAAAACCGGACCGGAGAACGACCCGGAGCGATGGCCGGGTCAAGGGTCAACCCGGACCCGCCGGTCAGCCCGGTCAACGACCGAAAAACCCGGTCAACACACACACACATAATATTTAATATTCATACATATTTATAATTTATATGTAGAAAATGTTACTCATTCATAAACTAATAATGATGAGACAATACAATCCAATTAAGAAATCATTATTTTAGAGTTGGTTTTAACAAAACTTAAAATAGATTTGCATGTAGATGGATAAAATATATAGATATGACATTAATTACAAAATCTTAAAAATGAGACAATATGAAATATATAAAGTATAAATATACGAAGTTCCAGGTTATATATAATTTTGTATTCATCATAATTTTTATGTATGAACATTTCAGGTTAAAGTTCCAAAGAGCGAACCATTTGCATATACGAAGAGTTCAACAACATGAACAATATCTAGTGTAAACTTTTAGATGTAGTATTAAGGGAGTGTTTGCGATTGCTTGTGCTTTTTAAAAGTGATTTTTTTAAGAGATTATTGGAAAAGTGATTTGTAGTAAAAGTTCGTAGTGTTTGGGAATAGAAGTGATTCTAATTAAAATGTAAAAGTTGGAGTGTTTGATAAAAAAGTGATTGTGATGGTATAT